GCTGATCTACAAAGTTGTCCATACAATACTTCCTACGAAGTCATACTAATATTTTTCTGATAACTGTTATTATAGACAAACTCTACTAGGGATAGGTGGTCATCTCATTGCCCTCTGAAATCTAGAACACAAACCATAAACATATCCTCTAGTGTGCGAATTGTTCACTCTGATTGTCCATTTGTCTAGAGGTAAAATGTTGTGCTAAGAGACATTTCATCCCCATTGCTTGTTGAAGACTTGTCCAAAACATAAAGATGAACCTAGGGTCCCTATCCGATACACTGTCACCAGAACTCCATGTAGTTTGACTATCTTCCGAACATAGATTCTAACTAGTTTTTCTAAGGGATCAGTCATTCTGATGGCCAGAAAATGAGAGGATTTAATGAGTCGGTCAAAATCACTCAGATCTCATTGTCTCCTGAGTGTGCCTTAGACAATCTTGTTATAAAGTCTATAGTGATATGTTCCCATTTTTACTTCGGAATTGGCAACGGTTGAAGTAGCCTACCTAGGTGTTAATGCTCTACTTTGACTTGTTGGCATCCAAGGCACTTAGAGACAAAATCAGTAATTTCCATTTTCATCTCGCTCCATCAAAATCGGGGCCGTATGCTTTGGTACATCTTAGTACTTTTCAGATGCTTGGTGAACTTCGAACTGTGAACCTCTGTCATGATATCTTTTTTCAACTTGCTATCACTAGGAACACACAACTATCTTAGAACCTGAATAACCCATCGGCAGAGACTCAAAGTTCTAAATTCAAACCTTGTTCTGTATCCTTTCTGAGAGCTGTTAGATGAGGATTAGCTAGTTGAGCCTCCCTTATTCTCTGATTAACTAGGATTGGACTGTTAAATTAACTAGACATGTAGCCATTTTCAAGTCTTGGAGCTGTATCTGCTGTGTAGCCTTTATCATCATGTACTCAAAAATCATTATGTGAGCTAACATATCTGTATTCTTCCTACTAAGGGCATCGGCTACCACATTACCCTTATCTGGGTGGTATAAGATCTTACAATTGTAATCCTTAATTAGTTATATCCAACGCCTCAAACGCATGTTGAGATCTTTCTAGGTAAATATATGTTTTAAGCTCTTATGATCTGTATATATTTTAAATTTTTTCCCATATAAGTAATGACGTCAGGTCTTCAAGGTGTGGATAATGGCGGCAAGCTCCAAGCTATGGGTAGGGTAATTCTTTTCATGAGTTTTTAACTGTCTAGTCCCACAAGTTATGACCTTCTCTTGCTGCATCAGAACGCAACCCAATCCTTGGTAGAACACATCACT